CCCCCCCCCCCCCCCCTCCGCTGCTGCCTGCGGGCGCTTGACGGACATCTTCCATAAGTGGAGTCATGTGACCTGCTGCCAGTGGGCCGGGCTGCTGCTGATTGGCGGAGGCGGTGGGTGGGCGGGGCCAACGCAGACCGCCTAACCCCTCTGGCCCCGCCCACCTGCCGCTCCCCCTAATCTTCACCGGGGCAGCGTTACGGAGCAGCGCGTGCGGGGAGATAAGAGCCGGACCCCCGGATGTCCCCATGAGCCAATCAGAAGCCAATCAGGGCGGGTCCGGGTCCGGGGGCCAGGGGCAGAGAAGCCTCACTGCGCATGCGCGGGACGGATGGCTGGTGGTCTGTTTTCCCTGGAAAACTTTAGTTCTGTTGTTAAATGTTTGTTCAGTCGTTCTAAATATTCTGAACTTTGTTTAAAAGTGGTGAACTTTCCTTTAAGGGTAAGGTTTCAGAATAAAATGCTAGATAAGAATAAAACCCCGGCAGCGTGTCGTCTGTTTCTTTACATAGTGACGTATAGTGTGATGCACGCACACGCACGTGTGTGGGTTGGTTCTCTACATGGAGCCTTCCAGAGGACTCTGTGTGCAGTGCACGGACCCACATGCCACGGGGAGCCGCTGGCCACGCGCCACGTGCTCGTGTGTTTGGGTTCTGAAGGCTCCCATCCGGGGTCTGTGTGTATGACAGGGACACACAGAGACACACAAGGACCAACAACCACACACACTCACACCAAGGGCAGTTTGGAGTCCAGCCAACCTTACATGCAGGTTTTTGGACGGTGGGAGGAAGCCACTGGTTCCCAGCTCCATCAGGAGGAGGGGGGGGGCACTCACCAGGTGCTGCAGGCTGATGTGGGTCAGCTCTGAGGAGGTCCATCTGTCCGTAGAGCCGGCCACACCTCTGAGGCCGTCCTCAGCTCTGGTGACCACCAACTGAGCTAAAGGGATTAGCTGTTAGCCCCCCCGGTGCCCCTCCCCCCAGTGAAGCCAGACCAAGTACAAGAAGACATTTATTGATTCCACTATGGAGGTCACAGAAAACTAGCATGCATAGTAACAACACAAGGGACTACAAACGTTTCCAATATCAAAAGCAGATACAATCGTGGTGCCTTCAGGCCTTCTGTAGTGTGCTGGGGGGTGGGGGTCTCCCCCCCCCTCCTTCAGATCCAACACCAAACCTCATCCAGGGACGTGGAGCTGTGCAGTAAAACTAGGGTTACACTAACCTGAGCTAACTAATCAGACCGCTGAGGCTTCTCTAGTTCCTGTAAAGGCCTAAAATAGAGCTTCAATCACATTAAATATCAAATTAGTTTATTTTAAAAAAAGTCACACATTAACAAATCCATCTGTCTAGACGCAGCCGTTAAGCTGGAGTGTAAGACATTCATCCACCCAGCCACCAGGTCTGGTTCCTCTGGGGGGGGCTAAAGCTGGAAGGCAGCAGAGGAGCCACCAGCTGAAGGAGACTAGAAAAGATAGAAAAATAGTACTCTGGTAGGTGGAGGCAGAGTGGCTGGGCTCAGAGGTGGTGCTGGGGGGGGGGGCAGGGGGGGGTCACATGATGGCACAGCCTCTCTTGGCAGCCTGACGCTCGTCCTGTAGAGGAACACACAGGTTAAAGGTCAGAGATCCCACAGGACCAGGAACAGGATCAGGACCAGGACCAGAACCAGGACCAGAGAAAGGACAAGGGCCAGGACACCCACAGATCAGGGGAGGAGCAGGAGCCAAAAGGGGGGGGCAGGAGGGTGGGGCTCAGGGTGGAGATCAGGGGTAAGCTCTCCGTAAAGCGTCTGGATGGTTACCTCTAGTTCTCTGACATTAAGCTCCTCCTAAGGAGGACCAGATGAGCTGGTCCACCTGGGAACTAAACCGGGGTCCACTCAGACCTGAAGGCTCACCTGCTGCTGGAAGTCCTCCTCCACCACCTCCACCCCATCATCATCATCATCATCTTCCTCCTCCTCCTCGTCCTCAGTCGTCTTGTACGTAGTGCTCCTGTTTGCCACCTCCTGTCAAACACACACCAGGGCCTTAGACCCGGGGCAGAGGCTCTGGGGGAGGGGGGGGGG